ATTTGGGCTAATCACCAGGCAAAATCCTGGTGAAGATGGAACCTGGTAAGGGTTGTGGAGAATTAAAAGTATGAACACTTGCTGTGCCATTTGTTTGCTTTGATCACCGGGGAGTTCTTTTTCATTAAAGTTACCAGCCTCTATGGCGTTCCTAACACTGATTACCACTTTCCACCCTGCTCATTACATCCTCACTGGATTCTAAAAAATTTGTTAAACACTATTTCCCTTTCATTAAATCATGTTGGTTCGGTTTGATCGTATTACAATTTTCTAAACGTCTTGTTACTACTTCCTTAATAATGGATTGCAGCATTTTACCAATGACAAGTGAAAGGCTAATTGGATTATGGTTTTCTGCTTTCTGTCTCCCAATTTCCTTGTGATTTTATAGTGTGTTTGGATATTTAGTGAAAGTAGTGAATTTCAGAAGATTACATGAAATGAACCTATTTACAGTGAATGCATCCACGATCTCTGCAGCTATTTAAGAACAAAATGCCTCTTATCCATATGTTTTACAAAAAAAGAGATATTTGTTTCTAACTGTTGGAATATATGTCCCAATTAAATAATATTCATCAACTTGTGTAAATTTAAAAATTATTTATTCTCACGTGCATATACCAAAATAAACATGACAATTTACACACTCATTCTCGCAAACACAAAGGTGAGATATAGATGGAAGTAAATTACTTGTAGAGTTTGTAATTATCTTGATCTCTGAATTATGATTTCTGCTTTTCCAATATGGAAGGGTGATGTTTAATACCTAAAATTGTAAGTGCGGATGTTATAGAGTGAAGGATTCTCAGCAGGCTGTAAGGTTTTCCGTAGTTGAGTTTTTAGGAGGTTGGTTCTCAGAACACTTGAAGTTGGAATAGGTTGGAGGAGCACTCTCTGTTAAATCTCCCACTCTCAAGGTATTGCTGTTAATTACCTTGGTTGCTTGATGACTTACAGCTATTTAGTGGCCTTCTGAACACTGAATAGTAAGTTTGCTGGCTTTGTCATGGAAGTGCCTGCAACCAGTATTTAGGCAATAGTTAAAAGCAGACCAAATAAAAAGAGGTGGTGTTTATATAGATTCCAACATCCTGTGCTGTGGTTTGACATTTTTGAGACTCACCTTGTCTAGTTTGAATGAGAAAAATTGTTATAATACAAAGGATGTAGATAGTGATTCACTTCTATCTGCCACAAATTTGGTTTCAATCTTCCCTTTTATGTGGCATAAATCAGGGAGACAGGCAGTCTGGGAATTCTATTTTTATTTAGGGTTGGCCCGTTATTAAATAAAGAGATGTGTAAGTTCCCTGGATGACTGTAAATGTCCATATTTAATTAGGTATTTGCTTTAGAGTTGATATTGTCTGTAGTTTAAACATCAATTGTCAGATAATTTGCAAAAGCTTATTTGTGTCCAGTTTTTAAAAGTATTTACTGAAAGTTTGTAATATGGCACATTTATACTTGGCATGACACAAGAATAAGGCATAAAGCCATCAGGTCCAGGAGACTTTTGAGCCTTTAGTTTAGTTAACATCTTTTCTGTATTGCGAGTGATTAAATCCTGCCTCCCTTTTTCCCACTAATTTTCCACTATTATTGTGTTGCTGTTAGTATCTTCCCCTGAAAGACAAATAAAAATTTATCCAAAGTTTCTGCTATTTTATTGTTTTCCATTAATAATATCACATCATCCTCCAAGCGAACAATATTTCTTTTGGCTCATTCTCTCTCCATTTGTATGTTTTGTGAAAACTCTCGCTGTTTTTAAATTTCTTTTCATAATTTATTAATTTTTTGTTGAAAAAAAATGACCAATCTTCTGAAAGTGTTCTGAGGAAGGGTCACCGGACCCGAAACGTTAACTCTGATTTTCTCTTCACAGACTCTGCCAGACCTGCTGAGCTTTTCCAGCAACTTCTGCTTTTGTTGTTGACCAATCTTCTGGTTTACTACCAATCTTTGCAACATTACATGCCTTTCTTTCTGTTTTAAACCATTCTTAATTTTCTTAATTGTCCACGGATAAGTTGTCTTTTCAACAGTCTTCCTTTCTGACTTAAATAAATATCTATGTTGAGAATTAAATGTTTGCCACTGCTTAATTATAATTTCACCTTTTAACCTATTGCATTAGTCCACCGCAGTCAAATTAAACTTCATATCTTTGTAATTGCCTTTGTTTAGGTTTATGACAAATTCATCTTTCACTGCCTAAAACAGAATGTGACATTCTGTAATGTTACATTCACTCTTCCCTAGAGGATAATTTATTATGAGAACATTGATTAATCTAGCGTCATTACACATTACTTGATCAAAATAGCATTTGCAACTCCCAAAAGGAACTCATCCTCAAAGCTACCTTTGCCAGTTTAATTTGTTGAAAATATGTAAAGATTATTTACTCAGAATTATTGCAGTACCTTGCACACAAGACCCTGCTACCTTCCCATTTATACTCTATCCTGCAGTTTTGCTGTTAGGGGGCCTGTAGGCCACTCCTGGCAGTGACTTCTGTGTCTTGCTATTTCTGGTCTCCACCCACACTGATTCTCCATCTTGATCTTTCAAGCCAAAATCATTTCTCACTACTATTCTGATTTCATCCTTATAAGCAGACATATCCCATTTTCTTTTTTTTCATTTTGCCTATCCTTGCAAAATATGCAAGTACACCTGAATATTCAGTTTCCAATCTTAATCATCATGCAACCGCATTTTCTGACATGACTGTCAGATTATATCCTTTTTTTTCTACATGTACCATCAATTCAGCTATCTTGTTAGAAATGGAGCATGTATTCAGATGAATAGTCATAAGTTTTGTCTTCTTGTCATGTTTCCTTACTCTGACTCTACATGCTGGTGCACTCTTAATTTTGTAAAATTTGGCCTTTCCTATCACACATTACTCTATCACACAATCACATGATTGCCTTGTTCTCTCTTTGTAATTTTCTAAATTTCTCTTTATCTGAACCCTCCCACCCCCACTGTCAACCGTTCAGCTTAATATTCATGCTGCCTTTGTTCCCTGGATTCTGTGGACATACATTTTCTTGCCAAATCTATTATATGACCCTTTATAAAATACTTTCTGAGTCCATACACTTCTGTAAAAGCATGATCCTATCGACCCTCTCTGTGCCCTCATTAAATTTAATTGTGTCAATTAAACACAATTTCCATTAGCATCCTTACATATATATTATATATTGTTATAAAAGATCAAGGTTATGTGCAACCAGCCTTTTTACTTTCTATTCTTAATCAATTTTAGCCCATCCTGTGTTCCAACTACTTCCTTTTCAGAGGGTCGGAAGTCAACTCGATGGACCAAATGGCCTGTTTCCACACTGTATGGATTCTATTTTATTCTATCTTGTTTCCTTTTCTGCGTTCATTATCGAGTTCCTTTTTGGTCCCTAATCAGTTTTACTCTTCTGATTACTACCTTTTCACTATACGTTTGTTTTCTTTGAGATTGCCTTTTGTGTTAGTGGTCAGTATCAATTCGTACTGTTTTTGCCTCTTATTTCCTTCCTGCTTTACCCTCTGGACCTTCTATGTTCAGCTTTGATCACATTTCATTATCAAGCCTATATCTGTCATATGCATACCTTTTCATTTTGTTCCCTTTCAACATCTCAGGTTTGCATTTTTCCCTTATGAGAACTTTCTCTTTCAAGATAGTCCATTGTGTCATTATAATTTTTCCTGCCAATTTTCCAAATTTAACGGGGGCAAATGTTCTCAATTTACAACAATTGCCCTTCTCCACACGTAAAATTGCTGAGTCTGATTCGAAGGAAGGTTTACAATAGTAAAATAAAGCAGAATATGTTCAGCCTCTATTTTATTAATGACTCCAATATAAGAAAAAATAATACATAAATTCGTAAAGTTAAATAAAAACATAAAGTGGAACCGGAGAACCTTCTGGAAATGCTTCGCATGTTCGGCAGCTTATGTGGAAACAGTAACAGCGTTAATGTTTCAGATCACCCATATTTTCTGATTTTATTTCAGATTTCCATCATCTGCCGCATTTTACTTTTGCATATTAATTAGTTGTGCTGAAACTTAACTGATCTAGCCGATTTAGTAACGATATTTTTTTGAGGGTAGGGTTGCACACTGCACCTTGCAATAGATGGGCTACCATCTTCGTGTCTAAATCTATGCAGCCCACCACGCTGCACAAAATAAATAGCCCTTTCCTATTTTTTCCAATCAAGCACTGGGCTGTAAACTGCCTGAGATGTTTGAGCGCATTGCACCCTGGCAATTGTAGTCCACGCCCCACCAACCGGGATTGAGGTCCCCCAGCCGATCCAAATGCCCGAGACTACAAAGCCCATCGTGCACCGCGGGAGGAGCGCATGCGTTCTAGCAACGCATTGGCTGAAGGGAACAATAGGGACAAGGCGCCGTCAGGCTTTGTCGGCTGAGCTGTAGTTCGGGTGGTGTACAGGATTTTAATTTTGGTCGATTTCTTTGAAACCAAAAAGAGCCCACGAAATTATTACCCAGAGTTGAAGTAATTGGCAGCCGTTCAATGATCCTGTGAGCGATCATTCGAACCGCGTTCTTTTACTATTTCTTTCCTTTTCTAGAATATTCCATCGGCGGCTGCTGGGAAATTTTCGGATTGTGTGCGCGTCGCCACTTTTCCTGTGAGTCGGAGTTTTCCTGCTCTCTCCTTCATAAAATTCAGCTTGGGGAAGGGGGAGGGGAAGAAGTGGGATCAGGTAGCGGCTTCTTTCTTTTCTCTCTCTCCGTTACATGTGCGTTCGGGAAAGGGTTTATTTTGAGTGTCTACAGTGGCCGCATTGACTGGAGCGTGGTGCTGTACTGCCGGCGCCATCACCAACCGCTCGCCCGGTCTGGAGAACCGGCGCCTGTCCGTAGTGTGACTCCGCGGCTGTTGTACCGCAGCGAGCGGAGGCATACACAAGCGCGCCCCCCCCCCCCCCCCAATTCCTAATAAACCAGATCACCGCCATCATCTGTGATCGAGCGCCCGATCGCCCTCTGGTTAAAATCGCGACTTGGACGAAATCGAATGGATTAGGGATTCAGAGTTTTCTCCTCTAAAGTGGGTTTAATTTTTGATTCGGCGGCAGAATACATGTACCAATTCATCTGCTGTATAGTTGACTTTTTTAACATCGTGTCTTTTATTTGAACAATCCTGTGTGTGCTTTTATTTTTGTCTTAGAACAGCAATTTTAGAGTGGTGAGGGGTGATTTGTGCTGTTCTGATGGCTTTGGCGGGAGTCTTGGTGAAACCGGCTCTGCAAGGCGCCCATAAAGTACTGCTGCTTTTCGTGTAAAGCCTAACTTGCCCGGTGACGGCACGATTGAAGGGCAGCTGGTTTGTCCAATGGATGTGCCGAGATTTGAGGCTGAGTTGTAGAGCAGCCAATCGTCGAAGGGGAGGTGGGCATCCGTAGCAAGTTAGGTTGAGGGAAAAATCCTGCAAAAGGGAGAAGAAAGTCGATGGTTAAAATGGAAGACTGAGTCGTGGTGATGTGAGCATGAACATATTGCTTCTACGTAGGAAGTTGCGGTGTTAACTTAGCATTGAGCATCAATTGCACAGTAGTAAATGTTATGTTGGAAATCTTAAGTTGGCAAAAATTATGTAGCTGTTACCTCGAATAGAACAGTATTTGACTATTACAGTAAATCTGCATTGTATGAGTTATTTACAGAATTTTGATTTGAGGTAAACAGGGTTTTGGTTTAGTGCTGTAAATGAATTTTTTTAAATAAAGGGTCAGAAAGTCATTTGAAACAGTGAACTAAGGAAAACATACAAACAATCATGAGCTTTCACTTAAAAGCTAAATGACTCAGCATGGTACCTTGTGAAATAATTGCTGCTTATTGTTGACTAGCGTTTTTATGATCTAAGGAAAAGACAGGTGGCTGAGGCCACAAACAGGTGGAGTTCAGAAAAAAAGCACTGCGGAAAGGCAATTTAGCTTTTGGTAGTCTTCAGACCAATTGAACTGGAAAGAAATCTTAATCTTTTAGCAGTGGTTAAAGTCAGAAAAGTTAATGAGTTAGCATGGTTTTTGGGAGAAATAGAATCGCATCTGGTGACTGTGCAGAAAGTCTTCAAAAGGGAATGTTTGTAGCCTTGTCAATTGAGTTTTTAAATTTTGAAGTAAAGATCAGACTGATATTTTGATTAGCTTTAGTGTAAAAGATATTGTGGGAAAAGATTGATTGTTCTATATTGCTGTTTATGATGAGATCTTTTACTGAACTTTGGTTTTATGTTTTTGTTAAATATACATTGGCAACTTAGTGTGAATATACTCAGTGACTTGATACCACGGTATGAACATTGGAAATAAATTAAGCTTATGGTCTGTTAAGCTGGGTTTCGCTCTACGTTGCCCAGTGGGATGATAACACTATTATAACTGTCTAATCAAGGGCAGTAATACTGGATTAATACTTTGCAAAGCTTGTCATTAAATATTTCGTGGACTATCTAAATGATACCTTTAATTAGTTTATCACCTTTGTTATGCAATACAATACCAATGTATTTGACCAAAATTAGAAGCTGTGTTCTAGTTTGTGACAACTAACACCAGATAAATTCATTCAACATCGAATTTTGTAAAGTACGATGTTAAGACAATTTTGATTGTAGTTAACATTGCACTTTGGAAATAAGCTAGTGAAACTAGTCTTGGTTGTCTTGTTTCTTAGGATTTTAATGTTTCAGTCTCTTCTAGTTACACCTGCATCTTTGTGTGCCCAAAGCCCTTAAATCAGAATGTAAGTTAGTGAAATTGCAACTTTTGGTCTGGCAGTGGTTTGAAGCTCCCAACAGTGCTGTAATGCTGCTTTTGAGATTGTTGCTGAACTAATTTTCAGTTGAAGAATGTAATGCTGTTGTTTCATTTCTTTCCCTGAGAAATGTTCTCCTATTAAGGGTCTTAAGTAACAAGAAAAATGATATGATGAATCAACAATATCTGAAAAGGGAAAGTCTCCCTTAATTTAACCTCAGTTTTTAAAAGTGGTAAGAATAGGTATGGGTAATGTTGTAGGTGTAATGTATCTAGCTTTCTAAACACTTCCATAAGGTACATAATAAATTTATTTAAATAATAATAAATTAATGAATAGCATGTGAATATAGAATCAGTGACAGAATGAATATTCCAGCAGACAGAAAAATGGAAAATGCTAGAATTGTGGACGAAGAGATGCTGTTCAGAACGGGAAAAGGTGGGAAATGTGATTCCACAAGAGTCATTGTTCACTATTTATAATAATTGTTTAGATTTTAAATAGAGAACTTTTTAAGAACATAGACAACTGCAAATTCAAAGGAATGTTCAATACTAAGGAGAATTGCAACAAATTAACTGAAGGCATTAATTACAGAACTATAAGGAAATGTGTTTCAACATTAATTGATAGTACATTTTGGTAAGAAAATTAAGATTGCACATTGCTTAGTAGACAGTCTTGTTATCCATGAGGGATAGGGGCACGGACCTGCCGTGGATATCACTCCTGCATACCGCAAAGGGCAATGTGATTGGTTATCAGAGGATAGTTTGAGGGGGAGGGGTGGGTAGAAAATGGGGCGCAAGGCCAATCTTGTGAGTACATTGATCTGTGGGTAGCAAATCAGCAGTGTGATGATGCTGTCACTTTAGAAAGGTTATTTTGTCCTGTGTGTTTTTGAACAGAGGTGATGACCTGGCTAATGAAAATAGCTTATTTAATTTAGGCCTTTAGGTTTTTAAAAACAGTTGTAATGATGGAAGGGGAGTGGCCAACTCTCACAGTCCAGGATTTCTAGTTTTTTTAGCTATAGCTTTCAGAAGCTGTTTGGGGTCTCAGAAGGGTTGGAAGCTTCAGTAAATGAATCCCAGCTGCTGTTTTCTCTGAAATCTCTCTGTTGTTTCCTCCTGGCTTAGAGAACTGCACATAAGAATCTGTGTCTGAATTTACCTTTTTGCTAAGGGGTGTGTTTATGGAATGTTATATTGGAACTGTTAATTAGTAGGTACTGTATCTATTAATTGGTTAAGTTTTCCAAGAGTTAAGTTATTCTACATTCCTGTTTCTATTTTAAATGTAGTGCTTAAATAAATATTATTTTGCTTAATGTTTAGTAGTTTGACCAGTTGCATTCTGTCTGGAGCATGTACTTCATGTCTAACTTTTTTAAATGAGAAAATGTTAAAGTCTAGGCTTCCTTCTTCAAATATTCTTAGGGGTCTGGTCTGGTCCATAACAGCAGCTAATGAAGATTGCGTGTAATCTAAATCGGGTACGGGAGGAAAAGGATCTGGGAATATGATGCTTAAATCACTAAACATTGCACTAAGAGTCAGTAAAGCTATTTCAAAAGCAAAATAAATAAAGAACTGGGGATGCTGAAAATCTGAAACAAAAACAGAAAGGGCTGGACAAACTTGGCAGGTCTTCTAGCATCTGTAGAGAGAAAAACAGAATTAACACTTTGAGTCCAGTGACTCTTTCCCAGTTGCTCTTAGCTCTGACAAAGGATGGTGTTCATGCTGATGATTGAGGTTGGAATGAAAAGAATACATGGGGATGGTTTTGAGAGAGAGAAGAGCCAAACAAAGGGATTGCTGATGATAAACCAAAAATGAGCGAAATGCTACTTAGGGATGGAATGAGAGGTGTGAAAGTTTGAAACAGGTTGTCCTTAGCACAGCCAACCTATCGAAAATAGAATCTCAGGATGTGGTGGTCAGTAACGAACAGACAAGTGTGTTCGTGTTCTGAAACTGCTAAACTCAATGTTGAGTCCTGAAGGCTGTAAGTTACCTAGGTGGAACACTAGATGCTATTCTGCAGCTTGCGTTGACCTTTGCTGGAGCACTGCAGCAGGCTTGAGACTGAAATGTTAGTATGGGAATGTGTTTGTGTGTTGAAGTGCTGGAAGCTTTGCCTGTAAAAATGACCCTGACTCATTCCCATAATCCAGGTCCTGTATGGATTGCTCCCAGCACGTTTATCTTCCTCCCAGCCTATCAACAATTCCTTCATGTGTCATGCTCCCTGTATTCTATTCACTTTGTCATCAGCATAAATACCACTCTTTCCCAGTTGTTTGTAGTTCTGACCAGTGGTCACTGGGTTCATTGTTAACTTTTTCTCTCTACAGATGTTGCCAAATCTGCTACGTTCTCCACTTTGTTTCTGTTTCAAAACAAATAAAGTCTTCTTGCTGGACAGAATTATAAACTGCCAGTTGTGCTGCAGCTATTCTTGAAATTTGGTCAGAGTACACCTGGAATCCTTTTGTTAATGGTTTGTTGATTTATTGTTAAAGGAACATGGGTAATAGTTACTGTTTGTCTAATTCAGAAGTGCCCTTGTGGTACAGTAGTTAGTGCTATCTGAGCGAGAAGGCCAGGGTTCAAGTCCCATTTGCACCAGAGATATATGATAACATATCTTTGAAAAGTTTGATTAGAAAAGTCTACAGTCTCATCTAAAGAAATTCAGAGCAGCTTCTGGTGCAGTGGTAATGGGTTCTGTTGACCGGAAAGGAGTTTGAGTCCTTCCTATCCCAAATGTGTAATGACCTATCTGATCAGGTTGATTTTTTTAAAAAAGAAGTTTGTGATGCACTGGTAATGTCCCTACTATTATGATCTAATTTCAAGGTAACACCTGACTAGTCAGATCCCAGAATGAAACCTGGCTTGACAGTCTATAAGTTTTATTTCTGCATTTTTGTTTAGTGTTATGGTTAATCGCAGAACATGGTCACAAGAGGTTGTCAATGTACTGTTGTGAAAAAGCATTAATATCATTGAGATTACACAAGGTGGGAAAGAATAACTAACCATTATAACACTATATGAGGTGAATCAGTCTTGCTACAAATATCTGAATAAATATTTGATTCTTTTTGCCCACAACATCAACCTTGCAGATACTCAAACTGCATTTAAGGGCTGTGCAGTCTCCAGTTTATAGTTCTTCCTTCAGTTAGTATGGCTGTGAGTGGTTTCGAGCTTTCTTCTCATTGACTTCTAGGCACTTCCAGAGCAAACACCTGGCTTTTCCATGCCCTCA